ATAAACCAAAGAATATGAGAAAGTAAACTGTACATATATCTGGAGCACAAGTAATGAAGACACAGAAAACAACCTGTGCGAAGCTCCTCACACAGGAGCATGCCTGATGTCAGGTAAAAAGGTGTCAGGGACAGTGGTTTGTATGTCAGTCATATTGGGGTCAAACAATAGTTAGAGTGGAGCAGGAGTAGAAATAAGCTGGAAATGATGGAGGTGTAGCTGAAAATTAGTGGATATGAAATTGAGAGATTTTAAAAGGATTTTAAAAATTCGAGTCATAAGTAATGACTAGGGCTAGGGTATGACCATGGGGGTGAGCAGCTGAGATTGATTATAGGACAAGATGGTTGTTGTAAGTTATATATCAAAATTTCATTGGGTAGTATAGACAAAGCAATTTATAGCTTCAATACCACCACTATTAAAATACCAATGACATATTTCACAGATATAGAATGAACATTTCAAAAATTTATTATACAGAACCATAAACAACCCCAAATAGCCTCAGCAATTTTGAGAAAGAAACAAAGTATGAGGGATCACAATACCTGATATCAAACTATATTACAAGGCCACTGTAATCAAAACAGTCTGGTGCTGGCATAAGAACAGACACATAAATCAATGGAACAGAATAGAGAGCCCATAAATAAACCCATGTCTTTATGGTCAATTAACATTTGACAAAGGAGGCAAGAGCATAAAATGGAGCAAAATGGCTGCTTCAATAAATGGTATTGGGAGATCTGGACAGCTACACGCAAAAAAATTAATCTCAACCAACAACTTACACCACACACAAAAATAAACTCGAGATGGATAAAAGACTTAAATATAAGTCACGACACCATAAAAGTCCTAGAGGAGAAAACATAGGCAGGAAAATCTCAGATATTCCATGCAGCAATGTTTTCACCAATATGTCCCCTAGAGCAAGGGACATAAAGAAAAGAACAAACAAATGGGACTTCATCAAATTAAAAGGCTTCTTCATGGCTAAAGAAAACATCAGCAAAATGAAAAGAGAAATGACCATTTGGGAAAATATATAATTGCCAATGATACCTGGGGCAGGGATTTGATTTCCAAAATATATAAAGAACTCACACAACTCCACACCAGGAAGACAAACAATCCAATTAAAAAATGAGCAAAGGACCTGAACAAACACTTCTCCAGGAGGACATATAGAGGGCCCAGGGACATATGAAAGGATACTCAGCATCACTAGCCATCAGAGAGATGCAAAATAAAACCACAAGATACCACTTTGCACTGGTCAGAATAGCCATCATAAACAAATCAACAAACAACAAGTGCTGGTGAGGTTGTGGAGAAAAGGGAACCCTAGTACACAGTTGGTGGGGATGCAGACTGGTGCAGTCACTGTGGACAACAGCATGGAATTTCCTCAAAAAACTAAAAATGGAACTGCCTTTTGACCCAGCAATTCCACTGCTGGGACTCTACACTAAGAATCCTGAAACACCAATTCAAAAGAACCTATGTACCCCAATGTTCATAGCAACACCACTTACAATAACCAAGTGCTGAAAACAGCCTTAGTGCCCATCAGTAAATGAGTAAATCAAAAAACTGTGGTACATTTACACAATGGAACACTACGCAGCAGAAGTAAAGAAGGAGTTCCTACCCTTCACAACAGCATGGATGGATCTGGAAAGCATTATATGCTAAGTGAAATAAGCCAGGCGGTGAAAGACAAATGCCATATGATCTCACCTGTAAGTAGAACCTAATCAACAGAACAAACATAACCAGCAACAATGAAAGAAAAAAACAAACTGCCAGTAACCAGAGGGGAGGAGGATAACAGGAGCAAGAAGGGGAAGGGTTATCAAGGAACATGTATAAAGGACTCACGGACAAAGACAATGCAGGCTCGGGGGAGGGAGTGAGTTGAATGTGGGAGGTGGGGGTGGGCAGGGCAGGGGAGAGTAATGGGGGAAAACGCGGACAACTGTGACTGAACAACAATAAAAAATTTCATATTATAAATTCAAACCTTTATTTTAAATTGTTTCCAAAGTTTTATCCTAATGACGTATTTTTAAATAAACCTCTTTTCATGAATAGCCTTTTGCTTATTTTTAAGAATTTCATAAAACAAATTTCCAGGGAATTAATAAACATAAAGTAAGAATATTTTCTTAATTATTAACTATTGTCAAAGAGCCTTCCAATTTGATAGTTGCAATATTTATTAGAAATATTTTTATTATAGAACAAATATATTTATAATAAACTCTCCACCAAAGTTTACATAGATTACAGGGTGAAAAAAGTACCCTTCAAAAATTCATAATTTTCCAATTTCACACTCCAGAAGTAACTGTTAATTCCTTGTCTATTATTCCAGGGTTTTCAGGGATATCTATATATATATAAAATATCCCTTTTTTATGTAAAAAACTGGATCATTCTGTATCATTTCTAAAATTATAGTAATATAGCATTGATTTATAATAAAATTCTAAGGTAAAGCATTTTCTGATTTGATTAAAATTATGTTTTTTATTACTGATTTGGTACAATATTTTTTGTATTTTTACTTCTTCATCTATTTGAATTATGTATATCTTCTGTCAGTTTGTTAATATCTTTAAGTTTTGAACTCAAGCTTCTTTTTTCATTTTATGCAGTCAATTCTATCACTTTTCCCCATTTCTAAGTTATCCTGTTCTTTCAATTTGTGAGTTATCATCTTTGTCCTCTTTTATAATATTTTATGCCTGTTAATATTGTCGAATGACCCATAATTTATTTTAGTATGAGTTTTGAGATACTGTTCTTTCTAACTAATCATTAATCCTTCAATGAATCAATAACACCTTCAAATCAGTCACCATATAGGGTACTAAGAACCTACACATATCTGCAGTCAAGGTAACAGGAAATCCTTTAAAAATCATTTCTAAAAAAAATAAATCAAAGATGTCCTCAACCTCTTTACAATCAAGTTGGTAAAATAAGGTACCTCTAGATAAGATAATTAATTATGTAAGAATTACACACAACTGTATGTAATAATACCAAATGAATATTGTTTCCAAAAGTAGAAATATCATTGGAGAATGAATTGATTGGTCAGTGAAAATTCAAAAATGAGAAAAAAGTGAAGTTATGGCTTTGTGTGTTAAATTAAAATTTCTAACAAGGTTCTCTGAAACTCAAGTATTCAACAAGCTTATACTGAGTTTGCCCAAGTAAAATATTTGAATATTAGTAAATAAAATTGTCCATTTACCTCTAATGAAGTTACACATCTAATTAAAACTTTACTTGCAGTTCAGTTAAAATAATATTAGTTTAATGTGATAAACTAGAGATGTAAATAATTACAAGCTCTGATTGGCATTTCCAATGATCTCTGATGGCTATAAAAGGAATAATTAATTGATTATTACTTAATATCAACACATTAATTACTTAATATCAACACATTAATTCCTAATAAAAGATAAAAAAAAGGGAAGGAGCTTTTGGCTGTGAAGACAAAAGGAGTTAGGTGAGAAGAGTGAGTAAAATATTGTAAGAGGAGAAACATGCACTGGTTCAGGTAAACATAGAGAAGATCTCCACAAAACTTCTATCATTAAATCAAAAAGTTGTAACAGATAAAATTGTGGACAGATGTTGGACAGCCATGAAAGCCAGGTCATATAATTCTATTTTGTTTTATTTTTAATGAGCAAAGAGAAGTTTGGGGAACACAAGAAAGGAAAGCAGCTTCTGACAAGATGTACACATTAGATCAGACCAACTTCCTCAGGGTTTCATCACTGAACTCAATCATATTTCCTACATTCCTGCACTTTCCTAACTCTCTGATCTGGAGGAACATCACAGTAGTGGAAAATGTAATTTTTCTTTCTTTAAATCTTACTTTAACCTGTTGAAGTTTTAAACCAGTTCAAATATATTTGATACTAAAAATCTCCCCTTTTTTCCCCCAGACAAATGTCTCTATCACCTATTCGCCTATATTATTGTGTGTTATTTCACTGAGTAATACAATCCTAGATTATATATTATTCTTGTTGTATAATCTTATTATTCAAACAATTTTCACTTTTGTTATTTAGTTTGATTTACACATTATTTTACAAGGCAAATGTGGCCATTTGCCTTGTTCTTTCAATGTGCAAAGTTTGACCTGTAATACAGAAATTTTTTCCAAGTACAGTTAGGTTAAAATTAGAGTGGAATGCTACTAGAGGGCCTCTCTCTCTAGCATTCACCATCCATATCACATAAAACATCAAATTTATTTCATGTAGACTGCATTGTCTACATGACAAATCAAAAGAGAAATCCTGAGCCCTCTAAGAAGGATTCCAATTGATGCCTTAATTTTCTGCTCTGACTCTAGAATCAAGTTCTGCATACTGCATGGTGAGGCAAATATCAAAGAAGAAAATAGATACCTAAATGAATAATAGTGAAGAGGAAAGAGTAGAGAATGACTCAAATTAGAGCAGGAGAGAGGAGAGTGAGAGTGAGCAGGCCCAAGGAAAGGAGAGTCAGAGGGTAGCAGAAAGAGAAGGGAGAAGAGCAAAAAAATATTAGAGAGGATAATTTGATCCAAGATTTCATCACAGAGCTCGGTCTCTGTCCCTATGACCCACTACAATATCGCTGCCCCAAATACAGAGAGTGGGTACAATTGTGGGCCATGAGTAAGCGTTCCCAAGAGTCTTGAAAATGCAGGTGTGGAGAAAGTACAGCCCTATCTTCTACTCGTCCTAAATCTCTTCAAGTGAGGGTCCCCCATGACAAAAACTTCTGCCAAGCTGGCCTCAATGCCATGTATGGTTTATTGGCCCCCTCAGTGAGCAGAGATGCTTTTGAGAGTGCTGAGGCCAAGGAAGACCTAGGGACCCTGGACCATTCTAATTCTACATTGCAGGAAATACATTCAGCAGCTCCATTGTGTCTTAGAACACACACTGAGTGTAGATTCCATCAGATTAGTCTCATCCTTCATTACAAATCACTATTATCTTGTTCCACACTTTCCTTATGGCATTTTTCACTTCCTTATTCCTGATGGTATAAATCAAAGGATTGAGCAAGGGAGTCAGGATGGTGTAAAATATTGCCACCATTTTGTCAAAGGAGAAAGTGGACGGAGGTCGGGCATACATGAATACGCATGGGACAAAGAACAAAACCACAACAGCGAGGTGAGATCCACATGTGGAGAGAGCTTTCCACTGCCCTTCAGGACTGTGTGTTCTCAGAGAGAACAAGATGATGCCATAGGAGACAAGCAACAAAGAAAAGATTATGATGCAGATAAACCCGCTGTTGGCTGCCACCAAAAGGCCGAAGATGTTAGTGTCAGTGCAGGCCAGCTCTAGTAATGGGTACAAGTCACACATGAAATGATTGATAACATTGGGGCCACAGAAGGGCAGCTGGAATATAAAGAGGATTTGTATTGTGGAATGCAGGAGGCCCCCTGTCCAGGCCACCCCCGTCAGAATGCCACAGAGTCTCCAGTTCATGACAGAAGGGTAATGCAAGGGTTTGCAGATGGCCACGTAGCGGTCATAGGCCATGGCTGTGAGGACAATCACCTCCGCCCCAGCAAAGAAGTGTTCAGCAAAGAGCTGGGTCATGCAGCCTTCAAAGGAGATAGTCTTCCTCTCATAGAGAGAGTCCACAACCATCTTCGGAGTGATGACAGTGGAGAAACAGGCATCCAGGAAGGACAGGGAAGCCAAGAAGAAATACATGGGGGAGCCCAGAAGTGCTGGGCTACTGCTGATAGTCACCACAATTAGCAAGTTGCCCCCAAGAGTTGCAATGTAGCTAAACAAAAATATAACAAATACTGCTTTCTGAACTTTTGGATTCTGTGAAAGCCCCAAGAGGATGAACTCGGTTACAAAGCTTTGGTTTTGCATGATTTCCAAGGAAAAGCTAAATGCTACCACAGTGAGCATATAGAATATGCAATTGTGAGAAAAATAAAAATTCACCTGTGACCAGTTTCTGATACCTTCATATCACAATCATTGACAAGTTGGTGCATTCCTGTGAAAAGCTGATTACATACTTCTGTCATAAGTGAGAACACAAAATTAGAAATTTGTTGAAGGTGGTAGTGGGAGGTTAGGCAGAATTCAGGAGGAGATAAATTATTAAATACTTTAAAATGACCGGAGCCTATATATAGGAGAAGTACTTACATATGGTAGGGATGAGACATAGTTTTTATCTCAACTGCCAGCTCAGATCATTTAGTAGTGGTTTCCTGGAGTGAATTGTTGAGGAGGATTCCGAAGCCACATCCACATCGAGGACAGAGAACTTGTAATTTATTGGTCATTCCTGCCATTGCTATGGAATGGGAGCAGGGTGACTCACATGCCATCACTGATCAGAGATTACCTTATCTGCAAAGAGAAGGAGACATAACCTCTAGTTTAAGAGTCATTTGAAAATCATAGCTACTTATCCAATTTTTTTTAGCTCTGAACTGAATTGGATCTTTAAAATGAATTAATTCATTCCCTATTTAAAAAACATACATATATATCTATGGAAAAGTGCCTAGATCTATACTAACATGTAACAAGTATGCACATGCAGAGTTGGGTTCTTTCTTCATTCTTTCTTTCATCAAGAGAGAAAGGAGCAGAGCTGGCCTTTCTACTGTCTCCATCTATCTGTAGAAATCAAAGTCTTCTGATGTCTTTGCTCATGTTTGAATCAGCCCCCTTGATGAAGGACTCAGAGCAAGTGATGTAGATTCAGAAAGTAATAGTCCAATTACTACAGGTATAAATTGGCAACAACTATGTAGGTAAAGAATAGAAACAGTATGTTGAACACAGCTAGAGTCTTGAGACTTTTTAAATTATTTACTAATTATTTATACTATGTGGCCCAATCTAACATTGTACAACTTGCCATTTATAGGACTTTATGGTAAACTATGTTCATATATTACCTACTTGCTCATCTCACAAGATTAAGGTGTCAAAATTGGCAAAATGTAAAACTTGTTTATGATAAGGGCCCTCACAAATTTTAGTCACTGTCCTCTCACTTAGCAACCCAGACACCTTACCCATGAGTCCTCCAGATAATTACCCCAACTTTTGACTGTTTTCCATAGTAGACAACAGTTTCCAAGGATGATTGTGTCCTCACTTATTCTGTACAGATAACAGAAATTTGTCAAATGTGTAGGTACATATATACATAATCTATTAAATGGGTAAATAAAGTAATAATGAGGCTTACTGTGAGAATTAAAAATAAGATTTTAGCAAAAACCACTTAGAGCTAACAAAAACAATTTACAATAAAGATACAATTGTGTATACTAATATGCATCTTTATGCTTACTTTAAAACAACCATTTTGTAATTGCATATCGTAAAATAAATCATTATGTTTCAAGTACATTAAAAAATTTAAAATAAAATAACCACTCCCATTACATTTCCAGGGCAATAGACATTCTTAAACAGAGCTGCACTGTGAACACCATATTCAGCTACAAACTGTCACCAAGAAAACAAGAGTATAAAGCAAACCCTACAAGGTCATTGGATCAGTCAACGACCATTTGTTAAAAAGTAAAGGATATCAATATATGATCCAGCAGTTATCAGCTTATAAGCAATGAATATAGTGGGCATATATTCTTTCAAATTAGTGTTTTCCGTTTTTTCAGATAAATTCCCAGAAGTGGAATTGCTGGATCATAAGGCAGTTCCATTTTTAATTTTTTGAGGTAACTCCCTACTGTTTTCCACAGTGGCTGCACCAATCTGTACTCCCACCAACAGTGCACCAGGGTTCCCTTTTCTCCACAGCCTCACCAGCTCTAGAGGTACATTTGCACAATGGAATACTACTCAGCTGTAGAAAAGAAGGGACACTTATCTTTTGTGACAACATGGAAGGACCTGAAGAGCATCATGCTAAGTGAGGTAAGCCAGTCAGAGAAAGACAAGTACCATATGATTTCACTCATATATGGAGTCTCATGAACAAAATGAACTAACAAGCAAAATAGAGGCAGACTCATAGATAGAGAATAGGCTGACAGCGGTCGGAGTGAGAGCGGCTGGGTGGGGAGACAGAGGGGAGTGAGCAAAAAAGAAAAAAGAAAGAGAAAAAAACTTATGGACACAGACAACAATGTGGGGACTGCCACAAAGAGGGAAGGCTGGGGGAGGGGAAGGGGGCGAAGGGGGGATAAATGGTGATGGACGGAAGCTTGACTTGGGGTGGTGAACATACAATACGGTGTACAGATGATGTGTTGTAGAATTGTGCACCTGAAAATTGTATAATTTTGTTAACCAGTGTCACCCCAATAAATTCAATAAAAGGGGAAAGTTATATTAATTCTAAAATTGCAATTAAACTACTTGATTTCATATAATCCTTTTGGGAACATTTTAGCAAATATTTCCAGAAATAGAAATATGTTTCTATCCCTTTTTAGAACCCAACCCTAAAAAATTGTTCTAAAGGTGAAAGGAGGTAGTGTAAGTTTTATAATTGAAGACAATGCACGTCTTTTATAACAGTAAAAATTTAGAAATATCTAAAATGTTCAATAATAGGAAGATGTTTATGTAAATCAGGCTACTACAAATTCAGATGCTGTGACTACTAAGTAATATGAGGACATAGATGGTGAGGCATGTTTACAAAATGCTAAATGAGAAAAAAGATTGTAATAATCCTGCTGGTTTGCACAGATATTTTAATATAATTTTAAAATCTAGAAGAAATCATACAGTAGACTTACTTTCAGTATGTATCTTGATATAATTATGAGTTAACATTAAGGATCAAACTTAAAACCCGCAATGCTATATTTTACTCTATCGAAACAGTTAAAGACAAAGGAGATGGGTCTTGAGTATAAGTTTATTATCTCCAGTATAATTAATTTGCATAAGAGGAACTAACATGCTAACATAACATATAATCTTATACTAAAAATTGTAAACTAATGCAAATCTTCCATAAAGAGCCATAACACTGTCCCAGCCCTTCTCAACCTCTATACTCACTTGGAAGTCAATTTGAAGTTCATATACCCCTACAGGAAGCAGTCAATTCTGTTCATATTTTTCCTGGAAGATTCCAAGGTCTCTCCTTTCCTCACAGCCGTGCATTTTAATATACTGGAGCTGCACCGGATTGCCCAGGGCCCCTCCCGGCCATGGACTATGGGCTTCAGGCCACCCCTTGAGACTGTGGCCTCGGGAATTTGGCCTCCCCACTCTCCCCAGTGCCCACTGTTTCTTTCTCATTCATTTTGGTAGCAAACTAATCCTCACATCAGTTGTTCCAAAAGTAATAGAAATTCCTGTTTCAACTTTGAAGTATATATACTATTCAAAACTATATGAATATATAATATTCCAAACTGTATTGGTAGTAAGGTTGTCATAAGTCTTATTTTCTAATTATATTTCAAGGAGTGAATTTTAGATGCATTTATATGTACTTATATGTGCGTATCAGTCACATTTGCACGTATTTTTCTAAGTAACTATAATTATTAAAAATTTTAAAAATAGATTAAAACCACATTTTAACTATTCTCTCTATTAAGTTCCTTAAATCCAGTGTATTTTTGATACAGGATTATTCTTTACTCTAGCAATAAAAGATTTATTCTCTGCCTACAGAGCTAAACATGTTCCTTTTTATGACTCTCTGGGAAATGCTCTCTTCAGATTTCAGATCCATTTCTCTCCTCTCTGTATTCCTCTGCTGATGTTCCTAAATGTCTCACCTTGTACACCCTTACTATTTCTGGAATTTGAAAAAAATAACCTTTCTCTGTTTCTACCTGTGTCCTTCCTGGTGGATGCCTGAAACTTTTTTTTTCTATTGCTCTAACGATTTAGTTCTTTTTAAAAAAGAGACAAAGTCACAATAACTAGCACTAAAGCATTTTAAGTTCAGCCATGAAGCTATTCTGAACAATTCTGATGCATAAATCTACGGCTATTTATGACACCAAATGCACTTGGGGAAAATTAAGTGAACGTATTTAAAATCAAAAGACTGCTCTGTGACGTGAGTGAGACACTCTTTCCTACACTAATGCCCTTCTGTGTGCCTTTGCTGGGGTTCTGTTGTGGGAATATTAGTGCAATATTCTATCAATAATTGTGAATGGTAAACAGCACTTGAATTATCATGCTCCTACAATAGTATTCTTTATATGGCCTTGGAAAATTCTGCTTTTTAAACTAAAACACCAGGATGAGAATATTCAAAACTACATGAAGACATTCATCCTTATGTGAATGATAATTGAGAATACAATTGTAAATAATAAGTTAAATGCTATTGGAGAGCCAAGACAAAAATGTGCACTTGTTGCATTTCTAAGGTATTTGGATTTAATCTGAAGATGAAAAATTGAAGATAGGTCTAATTTCATTAGACTCAAATTAATAGGACCTCCTAACCCTCCAAAAAAGTTTGCATTCTAACAGCTGCTATTTATTCAGCATGTACAATATGATGTGTCAAACACTCTCCTATTGACTCCACACTTATTATTGGTTTCTAAGTCCTTCGAACGTCGTAATATATTCCCCACCAGAAATTAAGATTCCGAGAGCCACAAAGGTTATATGACTAGTCCAAGTGTACACAGTTAAGTGATAGACTCACCCATTGCATTAAACCTCATAGCCTGAACCATAACACCCATACTTTTAAGTACAGCATCACAATTTCATATCCTCTCTGCAAAGGCAAAACTGTGAATTATACATCTCACCATGTGGGAGTTCCTTGAAAATACTGGTGATGGAAATCTCTACTCTCTATAAATAAAAGTCTACTCAATGGCTGTAAAAAAAAAATGTGAAGGTCATTTCCAAAATTCTACATCTAAGAGAGAGGAAGAACATCTCTGGCAGACAAAGTAGAGAATGTTCCGCACAGCTTCAAGCACTGTCTTCCATGTGGTCTCAGGGAAAACAATCAATAAAGA